CAGAGAGGACGGGTGGTAAGCAGGGATCACCACCCAAGTGCTGTTCTCATCGTGACCTGGGCTGCTGGGAATGCAATTCCAGCTCTTCTGGGAGCCCTGCAGCAAAACCTGCAGTAAGATTTGTTTTCCTGTGTGCCTCCCAGGCACAGAGAGGGCAGGGGCTGCAGGAGGGGGGTCCTGGTGCTGGCAGGGCTGGGCAGGAGGAGGCAGAGCTGCTCCCTGTGCTGTGCCCAGGGCTGGCAGCTCCTGGGGAGCACTGAGCTGGAGTTCCATTCCCTGAGAACAGCAGGGAGGTCTGTGCCTGCTACCTTTACAAGCTCTGACCTCACTTAGTGTACTGGGTGAAATGTCCACAGAATGACAGCATGGTTTGGGCTCCAGGGAGCTCAAAGCTCTGCTCAGCCCCCTGCCAAGGGCAGGGACAGCTTCCCGTGGATATATCTGCATTTCTAGAGCTGCCTGCCAGATTGCCTTCCTGCTCAGAAGGCAAAGTGAGAGTGAGAAGGGTCTGGAGGGGTTTTGCCCAGAGAAAATAGCCAGGGAGAAGCTCCAGCAACCTGAGCTCCAGCCAGGGGAGCAGTGCTGTGCAGGATGCTGGAGCTGCCGTCCTGCACTTGGAGGTGGGGCACACAGAGGAGCTGTGCTAACTCAGGATTAAACTCCAACCTGATGAATTTCCGCAGGAACAGACCCTGAGCCCTGGCAGATCCCAGGCTGTCACCCATCAGTGAGGCTCCAGGCAGCTCGTGTGCAGCCGGGCTCCTGGGGGTTTGCAGGGTTTGCACCCTGACACTGCCCTGCCCCACGGGACGGGCTCGGGGGGCTCTGCCAGGGCAGGCTGAGCTTCCCCAGCGCCAGGGAACCACAGTCAATCAATCAAACTGCACAGGAAACCGAAATTAGACATGCAGAAAGTGCGAACTTCATATTGGCCTGCTAGGAGCTCATTAGTGTCTCAGTAGGGGCACTCCTGCATTGTCTTAATTGCCCAGGTCCTCGGGGAAATTGCCTTTCTGATCTCCTGGCTGCTGTCACTGCCTGAGGTGGGCTCAGGTGCACCTTCCTCATCATCTTCCTCATCATCAGTGGCTGGGGAGGGGCTGAGCTCAGTCCCTGCAGGCAGCACAGCAGCAGGAGCTGCTTGGTTTGGGTGTGTGCAGCTGCTGGGCCAGGCTTTGGCAGGCCGGGCTTTGGCAGGCCAGGCTTTGGCAGGCCAGGCTTTGGCAGGCCAGGCTTTGGCAGGCCGGGCTTTGGCAGCCCTGCAGCCCCGGGGAGGGCTGGTGTGTGCTCTGGCTCTGGGGTCTGTGAGATCCCAGGCTGTCACCCATCAGTGAGGCTCCAGGCAGCTCGTGTGCAGCCGGGCTCCTGGGGGTTTGCAGGGTTTGCACCCTGACACTGCCCTGCCCCACGGGACGGGCTCGGGGGGCTCTGCCAGGGCAGGCTGAGCTTCCCCAGCGCCAGGAAACCACAGTCAATCAATCAAACTGCACAGGAAACCGAAATTAGACATGCAGAAAGTGCGAACTTCATATTGGCCTGCTAGGAGCTCATTAGTGTCTCAGTAGGGGCACTCCTGCATTATCTTAATTGCCCAGGTCCTCAGGGAAATTGCCTTTGTGACATCTCCTGGCTGCTGTCACTGCCTGAGGTGGGCTCAGGTGCACCTTCCTCATCATCTTCCTCATCATCAGTGGCTGGGGAGGGGCTGAGCTCAGTCCCTGCAGGCAGCACAGCAGCAGGAGCTGCTTGGTTTGGGTGTGTGCAGCTGCTGGGCCAGGCTTTGGCAGGCCGGGCTTTGGCAGGCCGGGCTTTGGCAGGCCGGGCTTTGGCAGCCCTGCAGCCCCGGGGAGGGCTGGTGTGTGCTCTGGCTCTGGGGTCTGTGTGTTCCAGGACCAGGCACGTGCCTTTGCTGAGCAACCCAAACGTTCTGCCGTTTTTATTGGAAAAAAGGATCTGTCGAGCAGGGAGAGAAGGAGGATTTGGGATTGGATAACAGCACCCAGAGAGTGTGAAAGGGAAAACTGGAACAGGGAGTTTGGGTTTCAGTGAGGCTTGCTCTGAAGTGAGCTGTTTGTGTTTCAGGGGGTTCCAGGTGAGCTGTTTGTGTTTCAGGGGGTTCCAAGTGAGCTGTTTGTGTTTCAGGGGGTTCCAGGTGAGCTGTTTGTGTTTCAGGGGGTTCCAGGTGAGCTGTTTGTGTTTCAGTGGGGCTCCAAGAGAGCTGTTTGTGTTTCAGGGGGTTCCAGGTGAGCTGTCTGTGTTTCAGGGGGGTTCCAGGTGAGCTGTTTGTGTTTCAGGGGGTTCCAGTGAGCTGTTTGTGTTTCAGGGGGTTCCAGGTGAGCTGTCCCAGGCTCTGGGGCTGGCTGGGGCTGGAAGGAGAGCCTGGGGTGGCTCCCTGTGTGTTTGTGCTGCTGCTCCTGCTGCAGCTGCTCTCCAGCAGGGGCTTGAGCAAGACAACAAGTGTGACCCAGAGACAGCTCTTCATTAGCAGGAGAAAATGAAATAAACGAAGAATAATGGTCAGTGTTAGAAATAAATTAACATCAATTAATCACTGACTAAGGCAGTGTTCCCAGCATTACTCATCCCCTTGCTGCCATCAGAAGACCAGCCAGGCTGAGCACACGTGGAAGCCTGAGCGTGGTGTGTCTGCAAGCTCAGGGACCGAGGAGTTCTGCTTCCCCCATCACTGAATCCCTCGGGGTCCTCCTGAGAGCTCCAGCTCAGCCCCTGCCCTGCTGCTGGGGAAGGGCAGGAGCTCGGGGGCCCTGGGGGTCACAGCCCCTCTGCTGAGGGGCTGGAGCCTTTGGGAAGCACTCTGGGGTTCTCTGGAGCTGTCTGGTGTCAGAGCAGAAAATGGGGAAGGGCGATGGAAGAGGAATCCTGCTTCTTCCAGCTGCAGTTCTGAACTGATGATAACGAACAGAGTTTACCAGAGTGAGAGAAAAATAAAGCAGTGAAGAGACAGAAAATATTTATCTGGATAGCTGGAAAGCCCTCCCCAGAGCAGTGTGGTGTAAAACTCTCTGCTGTCCCTTGGCCCTGCCCAGCGACACCTCAGCAGCATCCCTGGAGCAGAGCACAGGCACTGCCCAGCCTGCCCCGGGGCTCGGTGAGCTGGGCAATCCATTTTTATTCCCAAGTGCACGTCAGTGCTGGCAGGAGCTGGAGGGGCCCGTGTGGAGCTCCCAGGTGGGCAGCACTTGGATTTTAGCTGATTCTGACCTCGTGGGTGCCCACTTTGCCACTGGGATGCTGCTGGTGTGCATGGGGAGCTGGGCAGGAGCAGAAGGTGCCTTTTGCAGGTGTTTACAAGGAGCTCTGACACTCTGGGCAGGGGGATTGTGGTGGCTGCAGTCCCTGGCACACCCACTGAAGGATTTTCCTCCCTGTACTTGAACAAAACGGGAGGAGAATTCTACTTGGCACACATATATAACTCTATGTTGCTTTTAGATATCCTGTTAGAAACACTGGTAAAACACCTCATATCTGCTTTTTATACTCCGAGTGATTGAAGCAGCCAGCAGTAGTTAATATTTTATGAAGAGTGGAAAAAGATTTAAAATCCAAAAGGTCTCCTTAGGAACATAAGCAATGCAGCAAATTCTGTAGAAGCTTTGGTTGCTGTAGAAGTGCAGAATGCACTCCTTTTGATTTTTAGTTGAAAAAGCAGTTGTTGGCAAGTTGGAGTACAAAGAGTTGCCAGATGAAAGCTGGTGTTTCAGCCTCCCTTGGTGCTGGTTGCAGAAAGCAGCCCCTGCTCTCCTCTTGCCCTGGGAGCCAGGGGTGCTGAGCCCTTTGCACGGCTGATCCTGGGGCAGTGCAGAGCAGGGCTGGTTTTTGGGAGGAGGAGAGGCGGTAGGTCCTTGCAGGGTGATAAATCCCTGTGGAGTGCTGTGCAGGGAGCAGAGCTGGGTGCAGGGTGCTGTGCTGGGGCAGCCAGAGCTGCCCCGTGCTCGGGCTGCAGGCTCAGCTGTGCAGTGGATGTTGTGTGCAGGGCAGAGCTCTGCCCTCCCCTCCCTGCTGCCTCCAGAGAGAGCCAGGCCAGGTTCCTTAGCTTGAGGAGCAGTCCCAGACTCTTACAAACCATTGCACAGTGGCCTTGGGGATTCGTGTCAGCTCAGGAACTGCTCAGGGCTTGCTTGGCAAGGGCACAACAGCCCTGAGCACTGCTCTGGGCTCTCTGTCACAAAAGGCACTGTCAGGCTCCCCCACACTGCAGAGAGCAGGGCGAGCAGTGGCTGCTGTGCTGGGACAGAGCTGAGTGTGCCCAGGCTGTGTCTGGGACAGAGGTGTCCCTTCACACTGCCCTTCATCACAGGGAGTGAAAACTGGACCTACTTTACCTTGAGCCTGGAGCCTCCGTCCTCCTAAGGCTGAGGAAGGGTCTTTCAGCCAGTGCTGGCAGTGCAGAGCTCACCTCGCCCTGCCAGGGCCCCAAACCCTGCTCAAGCAGCAGGGAGGGCTCACAGGGTCTGTGTGCTCCTCGAGGGAAGGAGAGCTGGATGTGCAGCAGAGCTGAGTGCAGGGCTGTCACAGCTTTGGGTGCCTGGAGCCATGCAGGGATTGCTCCTTGGATTGCAGGGGCGGCAGAGCTTTGGGTGCCTGGAGCCATGCAGGGATTGCTCCTTGGATTGCAGGGGCGGCAGAGCTTTGGGTGCCTGGAGCCATGCAGGGATTGCTCCTTGGATTGCAGGGGCGGCAGAGCTTTGGGTGCCTGGAGCCATGCAGGGATTGCTCCTTGGATTGCAGGGGCGGCAGAGCTTTGGGTGCCTGGAGCCATGCAGGGATTGCTCCTTGGATTGCAGGGGCGGCAGAGCTTTGGGTGCCTGGAGCCATGCAGGGATTGCTCCTTGGATTGCAGGGGAACGTGGTGGAGCATTGCAGCTGCACACAGCAAAGCCAAAGCTCAGCTGAAGCCAGGGGCTTTAGCTGCTGCTGCAAGAAGTGCCATGAGTATGTGAATGTGTGTATTTATCAGAAATTGTTTTTTTCTACAGATCCCACAAATCAGTTATGCCTCAACTGCACCAGAGTTGAGCGATGACAGGCGCTATGATTTCTTCTCACGGGTGGTTCCTCCAGATTCCTTCCAAGCACAAGCAATGGTGGACATTGTGAAAGCTTTGGGATGGAATTATGTATCCACTTTGGCATCTGAAGGGAATTATGGAGAAAAAGGAGTCGAGTCCTTCATGCAAATTTCCAGAGAGGCAGGTAGGCATCGGCCGTGTCCCTCAGAAAGCGCTGCGGACTCATCCGTGTCGTGTCGTGCCGAGTGTGACCGTGTGTTCATGGGGCCCACCTTTGATTCCAAAGCTGCTGCGGTTCTTTGCAATGCTCTGCAGCGGCTCCTGGGTGTTGTCATTGCTAAACTGCTGGTGGAGGTTCAGGGAGTGGGAGCCCTCAGTGGGTTTCAGTCGCTCCTGGGGGCACAGAGATCCTTGAGTTGTACCCGGCCCCTCCTGCTGCCCTGGCTGAGCTTTCCTGCTGTGGGCACGGGGAGAAGGCAGGCCTGGGAAGGCTGGGCTCTTGTCTGCACAGGCTGGAGCTGTGCTGTGAGCAGCCCTGGCTGCTGTCCCGCTGCTGCCCAGCCTGACCTGAGTTCTTTGCTTTGGCACTTCCCTGCCCAGCTCAGTGCAGGGCATTCAGAACCTCTGCCCTGGAGGCTCAGGGGTTGCTGGTGTGGGGTGAGACTGCCAGACCTTGGGTGTGAGTCCTTGGCAAGCTGATTTGCAGTCCAGGTTCATAAGGGTTTGGAAACTCCAGTGTTGGAGGTGGATTCCTGTGCTGGAAGGAGAAAGCAGCAGCTGATGGAACTCAGTGCTGGTGATGAATGCCAGGGCTGTGTCCAGAGGCTCTGGGGCAGAACCCATCAGCATGGGGCAGGGCAGGCTCTGCTGTGCTCCCCAAGTGGGACTGGCAGGTCCCCACCCTGTACCTGCCTGGCATTGCCTAAATGAGAGCAGCTCGGTGCCCAGCTCGGTGCCCAGCTCAGTGCCCAGGCGGGGCAGGAGCTGCCATGAGGGGTCCCCATGCCCGGGGCTGGTCCCACAGCACTGGCTCTGTCTGCAGGGACAGGCCCCAGCTGGCTCCCAGCCTGTCCCAGACTGATGGAAAGTCACTGGGCTTAAAGCAAAGGGCCTTGGAGGGGGGGAGCTGGGATTGTTTCCTTGTGTTGGTGTCACAGAAGGAACCCGCATTTGCATAAATTCTCCTGTTCCTACAAATGCATATTTATGTGGTATTAAAGCAAATGGGTTTGGATTTAATACAGCAGGAAGTGACAAATGCCCGTGCTCATTGGAATTTAAAATTGGCTTTATTTGCAAATATCCCCTGTCGCAAACTCATGCCCGAAATGTGTTCCCTGTGTGAAGGACAGGCTCTGGCTGCAGAGCGGGATCCCATTTTCTGGAGCCTGTGCAGAATTGCATTTATTCCCTGCGCTGTCCATGCAGCCACACAAAGCTCATGCTCCGCAGAGAAAGCAAAGCCTGGAGGGCAGCAGTGCCTGCAGCTCTGGGTGCAGGGGGATGTGGGTCACGCTGGGGATCAGGGCACCGACAGGGATGGTGCCTAAAGCTCCTCCTCAGAGCTGGGATGGGATGATCCAGCCCCCAGTGCTGCTTAGGGCTGTGCTCAGCTCCTTGTGCCACCACGTACAGCTCAGGTGGAGCTCTGATGGGATTTAACCCTGCCACCGGGCTCCCTGGGCTTTCCACGCCTGGCAGTGCGAGCAGATCCCGTTGTTGGGAGCTTTAGTGGAGCAGGGCCGAGAGGAGCTGCAGCTCCTGCCCTTCCCTGGGGGCAGCGGAGCCTTTCCTGCCTTTGGGGTTGAGCCCGTGATCAGAGAGCCCCAGCTCCTGGTGTTCATGGGCAGGAGCTGTGCCCCTGCCAGGAGCTGTGCCCCTGCCCCTGCCCTCCCTGCCAGGAGCTGTGCCCCTGCCCTTTGTGCCAGGAGCTGTGCCCCTGCCCTCCCTGCCAGGAGCTGTGCCCCTGCCCTTTGTGCCAGGAGCTGTGCTCTCCTGCTGCCCTGGCTGAGCTTTCCTGCTGTGGGCACGGGGAGAAGGCAGGGCTGGGAAGGCTGGGCTCTTGTCTGCACAGGCTGGAGCTGTGCTGGGAGCAGCCCTGGCTGCTGTCCCGCTGCTGCCCAGCCTGACCTGAGTTCTTTGCTTTGGCATTTCCCTGCCCAGCTCAGTGCAGGGCATTCAGAACCTCTGCCCTGGAGGCTCAGGGGTTGCTGGTGTGGGGTGAGACTGCCAGACCTTGGGTGTGAGTCCTTGGCAAGCTGATTTGCAGTCCAGGTTCATAAGGGTTTGGAAACTCCAGTGTTGGAGGTGGATTCCTGTGCTGGAAGGAGAAAGCAGCAGCTGATGGAACTCAGTGCTGGTGATGAATGCCAGGGCTGTGTCCAGAGGCTCTGGGGGCAGAACCCAGCAGCATGGGGCAGGGCAGGCTCTGCTGTGCTCCCCAAGTGGGACTGGCAGGTCCCCACCCTGTACCTGCCTGGCATTGCCTAAATGAGAGCAGCTCGGTGCCCAGCTCGGTGCCCAGCTCAGTGCCCAGGCGGGGCAGGAGCTGCCATGAGGGGTCCCCATGCCCGGGGCTGGTCCCACAGCACTGGCTCTGTCTGCAGGGACAGGCCCCAGCTGGCTCCCAGCCTGTCCCAGACTGATGGAAAGTCACTGGGCTTAAAGCAAAGGGCCTTGGAGGGGGGGAGCTGGGATTGTTTCCTTGTGTTGGTGTCACAGAAGGAACCCGCATTTGCATAAATTCTCCTGTTCCTACAAATGCATATTTATGTGGTATTAAAGCAAATGGGTTTGGATTTAATACAGCAGGAAGTGACAAATGCCCGTGCTCATTGGAATTTAAAATTGGCTTTATTTGCAAATATCCCCTGTCGCAAACTCATGCCCGAAATGTGTTCCCTGTGTGAAGGACAGGCTCTGGCTGCAGAGCGGGATCCCATTTTCTGGAGCCTGTGCAGAATTGCATTTATTCCCTGCGCTGTCCATGCAGCCACACAAAGCTCATGCTCCGCAGAGAAAGCAAAGCCTGGAGGGCAGCAGTGCCTGCAGCTCTGGGTGCAGGGGGATGTGGGTCACGCTGGGGATCAGGGCACCGACAGGGATGGTGCCTAAAGCTCCTCCTCAGAGCTGGGATGGGATGATCCAGCCCCCAGTGCTGCTTAGGGCTGTGCTCAGCTCCTTGTGCCACCACGTACAGCTCAGGTGGAGCTCTGCTGGGATTTAACCCTGCCACCAGGCTCCCTGGGCTTTCCACGCCTGGCAGTGCGAGCCGATCCCGTTGTTGGGAGCTTTAGTGGAGCAGGGCCGAGAGGAGCTGCAGCTCCTGCCCTTCCCTGGGGGCAGCGGAGCCTTTCCTGCCTTTGGGGTTGAGCCCGTGATCAGAGAGCCCCAGCTCCTGGTGTTCATGGGCAGGAGCTGTGCCCCTGCCAGGAGCTGTGCCCCTGCCCTTTGTGCCAGGAGCTGTGCCCCTGCCCCTGCCCCTGCCCTCCCTGCCAGGAGCTGTGCCCCTGTCAGGAGCTGTGCCCCTGCCCTTTGTGCCAGGAGCTGTGCCCCTGCCCCTGCCCTCCCTGGCAGGAGCCTGGAGCTGGATGTGCTCAGGACAGGGACAGGAGGAGAGGACACGGCCTGGAGGTGCCCCAGGGGAGGCTCAGGGTGGGTGTTAATGAAAACTCCTGACAGAACGGGTTGGGCAGCCCTGGAACGGGTCAGGAAAGGGCTGTCCGTCTGTCCCTGTCCGTCTGTCCCTGCCTGTCCGTCTGTCCCTGCCTGTCTGCCTGTCCCTGTCCGTCTGTCCCTGCCTGGCAGTGCCCGTGCAGCCCCGCAGCAGCAGGCAGCTGTGGCACAGCCCAGCCCCGGTCTGAGCCAGCCCATCCTGGAGCAGCTCCCAGAGCCGCTGGCATCTCCCGGTCTCTGCCTGGCACCAGGGAAGGTCTGTGCCCTGGGCACCTGCACCTCTTTTGGGGTTGAGCCCGTGATCAGAGAGCCCCAGCTCCTGGTGTTCATGGGCAGGAGCTGTGCCCCTGCCAGGAGCTGTGCCCCTGCCCCTGCCCTCCCTGCCAGGAGCTGTGCCCCTGTCAGGAGCTGTGCCCCTGCCCTTTGTGCCAGGAGCTGTGCCCCTGCCCCTGCCCTCCCTGGCAGGAGCCTGGAGCTGGATGTGCTCAGGACAGGGACAGGAGGAGAGGACACGGCCTGGAGGTGCCCCAGGGGAGGCTCAGGGTGGGTGTTAATGAAAACTCCTGACAGAACGGGTTGGGCAGCCCTGGAACGGGTTGGAAATGGCACCTGGGGGCACAGCTGGGCAGGGTGGGGGCACAGTCCCTGCCTGCCTGTCCCTGGCTGTCTGTCTGTCCCTGCCTGTCTGTCTGTCCCTGCCTGTCTGTCCCTGCCTGCCTGTCCCTGCCTGCCTGTCTGTCCCTGCCTGCCTGTCTGTCTCTGCCTGGCTGCCTGGCTGTCTGTCCCTGCCTGCCTGTCTGTCTCTGCCTGTCCGTCTGTCCCTGCCTGTCCGTCTGTCCCTGCCTGTCTGTCTCTGCCTGGCTGTCTGTCCCTGCCTGGCTGTCCCTGCCTGTCTGTCTGTCCCTGCCTGGCTGTCTGTCCCTGCCTGTCCGTCTGTCTCTGCCTGGCTGTCCCTGTCTGTCTGTCTGTCTGTCTGTCCCTGCCTGGCTGTCCCTGCAGCTGGGCAGGGTGGGGGCACAGTCCCTGCCTGGCTCCACAGCAGCAGGCAGCTGTGGCACAGCCCAGCCCCGGTCTGAGCCAGCCCATCCTGGAGCAGCTCCCAGAGCCGCTGGCATCTGCCGGTCTCTGCCTGGGCACCAGGGAGGGTCTGGGCCCTGGGCACCTGCACCTCTCCTGCCCCGGGCTGGGATTGCAGCAGGCTGCTTGTCCCAAAGGCAGCGTTCCATCCAAACCAAACTTCTTTCTGATCAGCCGGGATCGCAGGAAATCTGAGGATCAGTAGAAAGTGCTTCCCCTGCTTAGTTTTCAAATATGCTTTGGCACATAAGGACTTTGCTTGATCCTCTGAGTTAATAATTCTTCACAAAGTGACTTTTATTATGAGCACTTCAAGCGAGTTTGAATATGTCATTGTGGCAGGAGATGAAGATTTGAAACATGCTCTGCAGTCTGTGGGATTAATAAATTAGGGGAATGGTCTAATTATGGGAAATCTAAAGGACAATTTCA